TGGAGTTATTACCCTTGGTTTCATTAATGCGATGCATGCGTTCCATGATGTTGTATTGCACTCATTGATCTACCAGTTATGTTGAATGATTTCTCTTTTAATATCAATTACTCACAAATACTTCATATATTTCAATCATACAAACAACTGCTCATTCAATGTGTGACGGGCGTATTATATACCGCTCGCGGTAACCTTGTTTTTTCAAATATACATTCATTGAAAATACATTGCCAAGTTTACCAGCTTATAAATATTGCATTGTTCCATTAATATTATGGTGATCTTCTCATTCAGTTACCATGAAGTTTTTATATGAAGTGAGATCACATTCTGCCCAAGTATTTTGTTTTATCTGTCAGGTTTTTAAACATTTGTCTGGGATGACTTAAACTTTTTTTGTGTATTTGCTTTTAAGTTTAAATTTTCATCTTGACAGATTACACTATGCCAGATTTTTTTTATCATAATAAATGACAGCAAAGGGGTGTATTTCAATCAATAAAATATGGTGTAGGATTTAAAGTATCACTGTAATATGTAGTGAGGTCAGTGGAAAAAATAATGTAAGTATGGATGGCACAAAAAGGGGGGTCACAGGCTCTATAAATCTGAAAAAGGTGTAATTCTTTGGAAATAATACCAGTGCTGAATATTGTTCATAAAATATCATATGCTTGAACTAATGTTGCTATGGATGATTGATTTCCCCAGGCACTGAGAGTGTCTATGGAAGAGCAGAGAGCAAGACAGGAAGACGAGGCTAAGAAAACAGCACCAGCACCAGAGGAGGGACAAGTACAAAACATGGAAACCAGTGGAGGAGGAGGTACTATCACACATGTTTTTCTGTTGATGGTTGTCGGAGGCTCAATACAGTGTTTCCTCTCATTTGGTCTGTCTGTTAAATAGCCAACACTAAACTGGGCCTATGGAGGGTCTGTACAGTATTTTCTGCTATGCAGCATGTGGAAGCTCTATATATATTTTTCTGTCGATTGGGCTGCTCATTAACTCACAAACAGGGACTGTCAGCTGGATTCTAGAGTGTATTTCATGTCTTGGTCCATTAACTTGCAAACAGTACACTTTAAACAAACAAACTGTGTCAGAGAAGATATAGAGGATATTTAATGGTGTCTACAGTAATAACAAATGAATTTCACGAGTGTGGCTAATATTTTGATATTTTTCACAAGTGCACAGCATGAGTGAAAAATATCAAAATATTAGCGACACGAGTGAAATATATTTGTTATTACTGAAGACACCATTGAATTTTCTATTTATGACATTTTTAAAGCATAAAACATGAAAAATCTAATGCATTAAAAAAGGGCGGGAATCAGAAGCGTTATAATTAGCGCCATATTCTAATGACGTCACGCTTGACAACAAGGCTGCGCGCCATTTTGAGTGGCATTAATGCAATTTCGACACTTTCTGCTATTTTCTGGTACGATTGCTTATAAAAATGTCATTACTGGTATATTTATGTAAATACTTAAGTCTGTGTACCAAACATTTACCATAAGAACCACTTATTTTCCCGTCGCTTCATGTGAATCTGTGACAAAATATCGTTGCCTTTGAATGCAGCGAATAGAAGATACCGTCATGATTGGTCAATACTAAAAAGTGACATTTTCACACTGTGAAAATATCACTTTTGATATTTGTCACAGTGTGAAAGATACCAATTTTATCAAGTTGATAGAATCCGATATTTCACTGGCAAAAATGTAATAATTCATGTACTAGACATACATGCTTTCAAGAATAGCAGAATTGAATTGGAGTGAGTAAAAACAAAAAACTTTGACTTCAGCAGATGTTTTAAACTTAATCTACAGGTTGATAATAGAGCTTTTGTGTAGGTATTGGTGATATGGAAATTTATCTGTCACATTTTACTTACTGCAGTTTTTGGTAAAAGCTGACACTGACATTGTGATTCCAAATATAGATTAAATGAATTATGAAATAAGATAAATTATTAAATAAAATAAATTAATAAATAGATAATGAAGAAATTAATCAAGAACATGTTGGAAAAAGTGGAAAAAATGTAGGAAATTGTTGGTTGTCTACACTTCTAGCAGTAGACATTGTCCTGCTGATCAAAAGAAACAAATACTAATTTCACATATCACAATGAAATGATGTCACATTTTAGAATATCGGCCAAGGTATTGAACCTGAATTCAGAAAAGTGTTATATGTTGTATTGAGTTATCCTCATTGGGTGTCCTACTTGACAGTAATACGAGATACACAGTTGAACAAATTGTCTTGTAATATGCTATTTTCACTGCAGGGACCACAGACGAGGCGATGCTGGAGCAGGCCCTAGCCATGAGCATGCAGCCAGATGCCATGGAGGAGCAGACTACCACTCCCAGTGTTCCAGATTTTGGCTCCATGTCAGAAGAAGAGCAGATAGCCTATGCCATGCAGATGTCCCTAGCAAACTCGGGTATGTTACAGTTATTATCTAACTGATTCCAATCGTTTGGGTTTAGTTCTAACCAGCTGTGATCAACTGTGGACTTGTATAGAGGTGTCACGATTCACCTCGATGCACTTGTACCGCAATTATTTATGTTCGATTTGATTCACAATATATTTTTCCGGATTTTCGATGCGTCACAATCTGAAAATTAGTGTAATCTGCTTCAGCTGAAACGTCTGCGAGACGTTCAATTTCATTGGCTGATCTCTAAACCCTCAACCAATCGGCTGCGAGGATACAATTTTCACAAAGCATTCATAACAAAATGGAGGACCGCCGTAAGGAAATGAAAATTTGTGATGCTCCGGCAAGCTTCAAATCAAAAGTGTGGAAACACTGCGGGTTTCCTTGTATCGACGGCTTATATATCATTTTGTTTATATTTTAAAATAAAGGTGTATCGAATCAATATAATCAAATCGTGGTACAAATATCGAGAAAAGTATCGAATCGTGGGTAAAGTGTATCGTGACAGCTCTACACTTGTTTAGAATTCTAAGTTTTGTAATAGTAAAAACTTAAAACTTAAACATCTATCAGTGTGTGAATGTAATTCATGAAGTGCCATAGACAATAGGAGTTTGGACCTCACCAACTTTTCATAGACCACAATTTTAGATGTTTCTAAAATATCATCTTCAAACTGACTCTCTCAAGGGAACGTAGGACAGGAATGGCTATCTTGTATTTGGTACCCAGTAATTAGGGGTTTGTATCGTGAGTGATGCCGTGATAAAATACATATCAAGATACTTGGGCTGCAATACGATACGTATCACGATATCTGGAAGACATTAAGCATTTATTTGAAATGTGTCTTTAAACTTTTATCAGGTAAGTATACTAGGTACAATGTAAAAATAAGTGAATATTAAGGATCTCGAGTGTTAATTAATACCTTAACCATCATTTTCAACAACTGAAAACGGACGAAGAGCATTGGCAATAGCGGTTGTGATTGGTATTGAACGAAAAACTATCATACTTCAGCTTTATTCCCCAATATAGAAGCATGACTGATTTGGTTTGGTATTCCTTTTTAATGTTACCGACATGTAACGTGAGTTTTACTTCAAACTGGAACCTAAAGATCGAAGTATTGACGAGTCATGTGTGTCTGCACGTTTGTGGTGTTTCTCACATATTCTATTTTTCTCTGACGTTCATTGCAATAAAAGAACATTTTGTCCGTACATTTTCTTTGGATTTAGTAGATATGTAACTAAATGAAAGTACACCATTGCGAGATAGGCAACTTGAAATGTGCAGACGCCTTGACATATTTCTGGTCACATTCTCCGTCCGCCATTTGGGCTTATTGAGTGTATAAAATGAAAAGTATCGCAGGTATCACGATACAGTTTTGCTGCATCGGTTCATCGTATCGTGGCCCTTGCGATCCAATACATCTATGCATCAGTGAATCGTTACATCCCTACCAGTAGTTTCGGTGTCTAAGAATAGGATGTTTCGGTACTTTTTTGTCCAGACAAAAAATCCTAAAATATATAATCAGCAATACACAGGACACGAAAACCAAACAAAGTACAAAGTTGAAAAGTTAGTGCAAGTGCCAGAAATATAATACCGAAACGATATTTAGGAAGTACTTAACATCTTCTCCAAGCACTGAAACATCTCCGCACCGAAATGTCTGTACCCCATGCTACACTATATTTTATCATCATTATTGAGTAGCCATTCCCATCCTACCTTCCAGTGAGGCAGAGACCTTTATTCCCTTTAATATCTCATCATCATATTATTCACATTTGTGTTGCTTCAATTTCAACAAATACCACACTGGTGCCTTTCTTTTGCTTTTTTGTTGGGTCTAACTCCCTAATACTTAGTAAGTTCGCCATATTGTTAGACATCAATGGATTTGTTTTTAACAAATTTTTAACAAATTTCCCTCTCCGTACCTGATCCATTTTGAACACTTGAATATGCCAAGGTTCAATTTAACCCATTGAATTAAATATGACTGTTAATACTTTAGTTCATAGGATTTAGAAAATTTCTGTTAAGTCAGGTTGACAAAATTGCATAGACATTAGTTCTATCATACTGGCATTTTTGACTGTCTGATTTTCCCATAGACAATGTCCATCAGTCTACCATTACTTTCACACACTGATCTATAATTTATCACTGTTTCACTAGCTGCCAACACAACTGCGAACACTCCCGCACCAATGGATGTAGATGATGAGGCGAAAGCTGGAGCGGCAGAACAAGAGGAGAAAAAATCTGTAAGTGAACAGGAGGCACAACTTGTATCAAAAATCTAAACGTAATCCAATGAAATGAAATTTACTCCCTGTTTATACATTATTGATTAGTAAAATTTGGTGACAGTTATGAATTGACAGTCAACTTGGAATGTATGATGATGAATACAATGACAACATGGTTTACTTTTTATTAATCACTCAAAGCTATTATGTTAACGTGATGTTAGATTTATACATAATTTACCTTGAGTTATCAAATTGGAAATTAATTTGTTCACTACATCTATAGGAGTTAGGCCCCCTTGCCTGTCGAACAATCATGGTTCCTATCGTTGGTTGATGTTTCCTTATCAAATGTTTGTTTCTTTTTTAGACCGATGAGGATTACTCAGAAGTCATGAATGATCCAGAGTTTTTACAAAATGTCTTGGAGAATTTACCTGGTGTAGATCCCCACAGTGAAACTATACAGAACGCTATGAGCTCTATAATGCAAAAAGATTCCGGTAAAAAAGAGGATGGAAAAAAGGATAAAGATAAAGACAGTAAATAGAAGGGCCCTAAATGTGATTTGAAATGTAACTGTGAATGAAAGGACTAATGTTTGCTGAAGTGCTACCTATAATACTTCAACTATTATGAAATTGGAGTAGCTTGTGGTTTGTTGTATTAGAAGTTGAAATATGTGTCAGACACATTTTTTTCTGTAAATTAACTTTTCAATATTTAATTTAGAAATCACAATTTGTGTTTCTTTTGTCTTTTGAAGTTTAGTTAAAACGTTTATTGGTACACTGAAAGTTGTGTCATCTGAGAACTGATTTGTGCTAGTGGTAACAGATTACATAGAAAGGTGGGCTTCAAGCTGACTGGGTTTCATGAGTGATATCAAGTGTGGATGTGTATAGGTGTATAATAAAGGATTATAAATGTTAAATGATGTATTGTTTTCTTATTAGTAACTATAATGATGTACAGCTTTAAGAGTGAACCTGGTTATCTTCCAACTCTGGTATGATCTTAAAGTAAAGAATACCGTTGCAGCAGTTATGATCATAAAAGGGCGTTTTGTTTAAGGGCCGATTTTTACTCTCCCTTGTATTAAATCAGATGATAAAGCAATAATCTCTTTTTGGCTTAGGGTTATTTCCCTTTGAAAGGTATTCATCTTTCATTTCAAAAAACAAAATGGGGAATAACACTCTAATGTCCAGTTAGAGAACTCTATTAGTCATATGAACTTGTTTGATATGATCAAAATAAAAATCTAACTAATGCCTAATTAAGGAAATTCAATTGTGTCATCAATATTTACCTCACCGGGTCCAAAGGATCAAGGTGACCTTATGCCATATCGTGACGTCCGTTGTCCATAGTACGTCACATTTCTTCTAACGACTTCTTCTTCTTAACCACTGATTGGAATTTAACTAAATTTGACTGGAAGCATCCCTCGGTGGAGGGGATTAAAAATTGTAGAAATGGTTGGGCCAAAAGAGGGCAATTTGGCTATATTGCTTTAAACAACTTATTCTCTGGAACTAAGAGATGAATATCAACCATATTTGACTAGAAGCATCCCTACGTAGGGGGGATTAAAATTGTTGAAATGGTGGGACTGACCCCCTAGGGTGCTGAGGAGTGGGGCCAAAAGGGGGCAATTTGGCTTTATTCCTATAAACGACTTCTGTAGAACTATGCACTGGATATCAATCATATTTGGTTGGGAGCATTCATGGGAGGCAGGGATTCTAAATTGTACAAATGGTGGGGCTGATCCCCCTGGCTAAGGGATAGGGCCAAAAATAGTTTATTACTTGGAAATGGTTGAGATCCCCACCCTATAACCATATATGCAATTGCTGAGTACAGGTACAGAGAGGAATACACATATACTTCCAGGATGGTACTGGAGTCTGGCCTTACCCTTGGAGACATAACCCCTGGGTAATAAATTTGAAACGATTGTGATCCCCACCCCAAAACTATATATAAAATTGCTTGGCATAAAGAGACAAACACAGTCATGATATTAGAATAGACCCTGGGGTCTGGCCAAACCCCTAGGGACCTAGTTTCTGAGTCACAGCTTGGAAACTGTTGAGATCCCAACTGCATAACCATACATAAAATTGCTGGGCATGAAAAACCTGATACAGACATGCTACATGGGATTGGCATAGGGGTCTGGCCCATTCCCTTGAATCGTATTTGGAGGCCCCTAAATGTGATTTGAAATGTAACTGTGAATGAAAGGACTAATGATTTAATTCAGTTTGAAAATCTTCAGGAGAAGCATATACATATAATTATTGCCAAGATATGTCTCTTCATCCGTTGGGTGGAGGGTTCGGATTATGTCTAGACCAAACCAAAAAATCTGCACAAAAAGAAATAAGTCCATATTGCAGCCCCATCCATTTAAGCTTATAATAAGGTGTCTTCTAGAGTTGTTGAATGAAAATGCATATAAATATCACCTGGGCCCGTGTTTCATGAATACCGGCCCATGCCAGACCAGATGCTTCATTCTCAATTTTTCGCTGGGATAGTTGTTCCAATTGCGATAATGATGAATTTTCCTAGCTTTACATCAGTCTTTACAGCATAAATATCAAAGACCTTCTATGCTATAAGAGTATAAAGAATTCCAAGTGATTCTACCTTGAACGTCCAATATCCATAAAGCCTCTCTTGGAAAATCACCAAACGTTGAGTAATGATAAACTGTGATAATTGGAAGAAAGAAACGGTGTCTTGTAGCATTATGAAAAATTTGAGAAGTTAAAATTGTAGACTAGAATTTAACAGTTATGAAATACTTTGAATGCCTTCTACGCGAATAAGCAGGATTTTGGGTAAAAGCTCAATCTGCTTCAAATTACACTTGTAATTCAGCTTCTCTACGAGTGTATGCAGAGGATCGGAATTACAAGTCTAATTTCCATTAGATTGGGTAAAAGCTTTTCGCTGGTTACCAATTTCCAACTGATTAGGGTAATATTCATGTCATGTTTTTGAAATAATTTCCAACTGATTAGGGTAATATTCATGTCATGTTATTGAAATAATTTTCAGTGTCCCATGTCTAGGAGGATGCTCTTTTGTATTGATAAATGATTTTTGTATCTCTCGTATGTAATCCATTTTTAACAAACGTAAAAACAATGTTCGGAAAACGTTTAACGCTGTGCCAAAAACTGAAGACATCTACCTACGGAAACACCGCCGTGAAGAAAAAGATAGGTTAGGTCAAGGTAAAAAATCAATTGTAAAGATGAATAATGATCTGGTTAGGAGAGATATTTTACCACAGGCTCAGAAGGGTTTATGTGATGAAAATCGGGAAAGGAATTTATAATTCAGTGATGGTATATACCACGCTTATAAATATGAAATAGAAGGCATTTGGCTGTTTCCCTTCACAAACCACATTTTATTTATTTTATTTTATTTTTTAATTTATTTTCTGTTTAAATACTGTAACATACTGATGATTTTACATTTGTTTAACTTGCATCTGTATGGTTAAAATTCAAGAATAGGAGTGTGGTATGTGATACTAAGTGGGTTAGTTTCAACATACTATTACAATAACTATGGTTGCTCGAGTGACATCTTCTCGAGTTCGTATCTTTAGCCGGCATTTATTCTTTTGTCCCACCATGCTGCCACTGTCCGTGCACACTCTTCCTGAAATAGGTTAACATTCCTCGTGTGTTGAGCATGTGATTTACTCATTTGCATTAATATTTTTGATTTCCTATTTTTTGTAGGGTTCATTTAAAAATATGTTCGGTATTTAAAACACTACCAACGTATTCCATCTAAATGTACCATATAACCCGTCAAATTTGTAAAATAGGAAATTTCATTAGACAGGTTCATCAAATTTTAAACGATACCGCCAATAATGAAAAATATGTTATTGGCTTGATTCTGATTAAAGACAAAAATGTTTAAGCTTGCTACCAGGCACTTCCTCCTGACTGCGGGATGACACGACAACACAACGTACAAAGAAAGTCATTTGCAAAACTCTATCACATTTCAAATCGAATTAAGTTTGAATTCGTAAAAAGATGTTCAATGTCGTGTTTAATCAGCCTATATATCTCGCGACGAAGTTGGTAAAATGGACCTAGCGCAAGAAATTAAGTGACAATTAAATGATCCATTTTGACCATTTTAAAACTCCAAATGTCTTGTAGTGGTCAATCAAATACCGCCACCTATCCTTTTAGACCTGTTTAGATGTATTCCATAGTTTGTTCAGGAGTGGGCAGCCTTGTTTGGCAGTGGTGAGCGCGTACAGTTTGGACAGGTCCACTTCGTAAGTATAGACTCCTATCACTAGTGACTGACATAATCGGGCACACACCAATAATAATAATAATAATAATATACAACATTTATATAGCGCCCTATTTAATCTGTAGAATTACTCTACAGCGCTTTACAACATATTGATGATAGTAATAGTTATAATTGTGAAACAAAAACAAAGGCTTACAATCACTTTTATACATTAACGTAAGCAATGTGCACATAATTGAACAAATAAAGGTTGGTATTTACATGACGTCTTTGCAGAGACCCTAAAATGCAGACGTGAATTCCGTCTTTGCGTATTTCAGAGTTATCTTCTCTTTGGAGCAGGGATTGATTGTTACGTCATTGGTTTGTGCGAGAAAATTACGTCGTTTTCTCAAAAATTGATGACGTTATTCTCACAAACCAGTGACGTAACAATCAATACCTGCTTCCAAGAGAAGATAACTCTGCAATACGCAAAGACGGAATAGGTGAGTTTTGATGTCCCTCTTGAATTTGCTCAGGGTATTTGACTTTCTAATAGCAGATGGTAAGCTATTCCACAACGTGACCTAAACCCTCCCAAAGCACCGGTTTCCATAGGTGACAGTACGTGATTTTGGGACACACAACACTAATTCTGACTCCGACCGCAGTGGACGTGACGGCTGTTACAGGGTAACAAGCTCATGTAGGTACTGATGAGCTGTTCTATTCAGTGCCTTGTATGCGTACACCAACATTTTGTACTGCGACCTGTATCGTACAGGTAACCAGTGCAATGAATATAGCACAGAGCAGGGCGTTATCATAATCAAACCAATAGGTAACAAGGGAATGCACCAAAACATTGCATGCATCTTCAGTTATAAACTGCCGAATACAGACGATGTTCCTGATCTGGTAGTAACAGGATTTGGCAATAGCGTTCAATCAAAGTATACCCCTATGTTTTTAACAGCTGGGACAGTCTCAATAGTTCTGGCACCAACCTTGAGCTTTGGGGAAAAGACGATTAGTTCAGTCTTTTCCTGATTAAGCTTAAGCATGTTGGCGTTCATCCAGGTACTGATATCTGTCAGACAAGCTTCCAGATTTTCTGAAACTGTTTCCCAACTGTCCTGTGGTTTGATGACCATGTACATTTGTGTGTCATCAGCATAGCAATGATAGCGAGGACTATGGCGACGACAAATCTCTCCAATAGGTTTGGAGTACAGGCAATATTTTCGTGGTCCTAACACCGACCAATGAGGAACCCCGAAATCTAGTACTTTTGTCATGTGAGGTGGTAGATCCGATGGCAACTCAATGTCGTCGTTCACTCAGATAAGACTGTATCCAGCATAGTGCGGTAACAGTCACCCTATACGAGTATTCCAGACGTTTATAAAATATGCCATGGTCGATGACGTCAAATGCAGCTGACACGTCCAGCATGACAAGCACCGCTCTGCACTTGTTATCCAATGTAGAAGCTATGTCATTATGTACACGAAGGAGGGCCGTCTCAGTAGAGTGTCCCTTGCGGTAGGCGATTGCATGTTGTCATGGAGACTGTTTGCATGGAGATGAACCTCTTAACGCCGGGACACAACCTTCTCCAAGATCTTATCATACATATCACATCGAAACCTGGAACTGATACATACAGGCATTTCATATATATTATGCAACAACAAAATGCTTATTGCGTAACTTACACCTCACAATAGAGCAGTGTGTATGGCAAGCCAACTTAACATTTATTCAAGGAGCAATGTCGATCCTGTATTTCAAAAAAATATATAAGATATCTTATATAGCATATGAGATATCTTATATACTATATAATATATCTTATATCGTATATAAGATATCTTATATAGTATATGAGATATCTTATATAATATATAATATATCTTATATACTATATGAGATATCTTATATAGAAATTAAATGAGATGCTATATAAGATATCTTATATGATATATAAGATAGCGTATATCGTATATAAGATATCTCCATTAATTTTCTATATAAGATATCTTATATAATATATAAGTTATCTCATATAGCTATATAAGATTTATTATTAAAGTCTCGTTACTAAATAAGATATCTTATATAAGAACGAGATTTTAACAAAATGTCGAAAATGAAGTCTCCCCGTCCGGAATATCTCGAGGATCTACGTAGGGACAGTAGGCTTGTTGAAACAACCATCGAATAGCGTATCCCTCTCCGTATCCGTACCATCCCTCTCCGCCATTGCGCCCACTGCAATCCTGAATGTGCTCCGAATGATTCTCGAGGGAGAAATTAGTTTCTGGTTTTTAATGCCACGAAATCTCAATCTATATCAGATATCTTATATAGCAACGAGATTTCAATTATATAAGATATCTTATATAATATGAGATATCTTATATATTATATATGTTATCTTATAAACTTATATAAGATATCTCATTTAATTTCTATATGAGATATCTCATATAGTATATAAGATATCTTATATCGCATATAAGATATCCTATATCGTATATAAGATATATCATATGCTATATAAGATATCTTTATTGTATATGAGATATCTTATATAATTGTATAAGATATCGGATATAATTCGATGAAATACAGGATCGACATTGCTCCTTGAATAAATGTTAAGTTGGCTTGCCATAAGTGTGTTTAATAAATCATATATGCACGGCACAGTTAATCCTTTCCATTTAAAAGGGACTCGATGTGCAGTAGACTGTAACAAAATATGTATATAAAATGTAGCGGGAAGGCTATTGAGGTGAACTTCTTAAACACATTTATTCTGTGTGTTTGGGAAGGGAAGTATGCAGTAAAACAGTAATGCATGACAGCTCTCGTTACTCGGGTTGTATCATACTCCGTCGATACTGCAGAGGTGCCCAGGGTCAACACTGTGTGTATGGACATAAATCGTTTGCTTTTGAAGCCACCCGGTTGTGGAACAGTCTCCCAAATTACTTCTTACATGTTTTAATTCTACTCTATATTTTTGCAGCATCTTATTTGTATTTTAATTCCATATATTCTAAAATATATTTTTTTACAAAACTTGATAAATTTTGTTAATTTATTTCGGTATCATTTTTAATTCACACTATAATAGTGTATATTCTGTCAATTTTATTCTTTGCTATATTATCATTGTATGTATATTCCACTTCATAGTGTTTTAATCCTAAGTCCTAAGTAATCCTTGTGTGATATACAAGTATTCATTCACTATTAACTATGTTTTTATTTCCTTATTCTGAATACTACTTATCTGTGATCACATTTAATGCTTTTCATAGATTAACAATATTTTTTATATATTTATTGTTCCAAAAGGGTCATATCCCGAGGGCCTTTGTAGGTAGGGGACTCCCAATCACTTAGAAATCTGGGATATGGATACTTTCTTTTTTTGTGATGATTATTACTGGTTTTTTTATAAAAAAATATGTGATTATCTCCCTTTGCTTGTAATATAATATGTTATTGTTATTTTACATATGTTTGTCGCAATAATATCTCTCAAGAGCTAATATTCATTGTTTACCTTTATGCGACGTTAAATTAAGTTTCTTGTATCTTGTATTGCATACTCAAGTAGCACAGGTCAAGTAGAGTTGTAAAACAGCGATAGACACGCAGCACTGACACTTTACTATGCAAAATAATAGTATTCATCCGCAATAATAGACATTTGTGAAATGTCTAACAAATGCCATTAATTTACATAAACCAGACAGTATATGGAATTTGTCTGTGACATAATGAGAGATAGTTTTTTTTAAGAGTTATCGCTTTTGTAAAATAGATGGTTGTTGACATCGGGATACGAAAATGAAAACGCCGCTTCCCCACTTCATGTTTTTCCCATTTCACTTGGAATCAATAACATCCAAGTCTATTTGTGTGAAATAAGCAAATGCAATCTATTGTTGTCCTCCCTAACGTGTGATGATATATATGAAAAGTCTACCGTTCGGAGACACTATTTGCCTACTACATACAACAACGATTAAAATACGTATTTACAACATATTTTTAAATAAGTTAACAGCTTCCCCCCTCGTCACTCAGTTGTAACATGCTAGCCTAAGGTAAAAACCGCATATAAAATACGGTTAAACTCTGTTGAAGTTGACTATAAGCCTTTTAACAACATTGGGAACACAAAGAAACGCGCCGGTACACCATACTACCTGTGTTAGTTGGAGGATCGGTTATAAATGCCCCTTGGCCATAGCATCAACAGGTGCCACCTCTGGGTAATTAGTTCACCTGTTAATTCACAGGTAGGTATCGTAAATGCCCTTTTGCTATGTTATTACGTGGCAAGACCTACAGGTAATTAACTTACCTTTTTATTCGCAGGTAGGATGTTTTGGTGTGTACACGTTGTATTACTGTCTCACATTGAATGTATAATTGATGCAGGCCCAGAATTAGATTTCCGTGATTCAGACTTGGTGTAACTTTCCGACAAGTAGATTGTTGATTTTATCGATACAACATATACTGATGGATGTCATTACCTACACTGTTATGCAGAGCCTCTGTTTAAGACGGATTGTAATGTAACACATGCGGAACATTACTGTCTCAATAACCTGTTCATGTGTTACGAAAGCGAGGAGAGAGGACCAAAACGAAACGAACATTTTTTCAAGATATTGTAAATATGGCAAATGTAAGGAATTCTTCACTGCTGTTAACATTGGGAATCATGTAACAAATACAGTGCCAGTGAACACATACAGTAAGATATATGAAACAATAAGTAATGAAACACATGGAAAATACAAAGAACCTAGACAGGGATTTCTGTACCGGTCTTGTACCATGAATATCAAATATCCAATATAGAAAATAAATCTGTGGTTTATGAATAGTAAATTGTGAGTGCTGAAATGCATATACGGTATGAATAGGCAATATTGAAAAAAATAAGCTTAAATTGTAAACAGGTTTGAATGATTGCCAAACGTGATTAGAGTTCAGATGTTGTGTTCATGTAGCGATACCGCGACATTTGTATATTTCAATAAAGCGTATCGTATTCTATCTATCAAACATTACAGCATGTAGGTAGATAATGGGATGCAATAAAAGTCGACACAAGCGCTAATGGACAGCACACATAATGGCTCATATAACAAAGGAAACTTTATTAACTATACCAAAAATCACGTTTTTGGAAATGAGTATCAACATTTGTTTATAACATTTTGTCTATATGATTATTATCTATTGTTTTGTACTATTTTAAAATATTACAATTCAACAAAATCCAAAATAAGTTCCCAGTCATCTAGGTACATTGTAGATGACGGCGCATAATGTAATTACTACAATAATGCCCATAGTGTGGGTATTTAACATAGCATGTACTTATACACATGAATTGAATCACACTTGTAATATGAAAACAACTTACTGGTTTCCTTCACTGACATCCAGAACATTTTTTAATAATTCGAGGTTCTTATATACCGCTTTATCACAACTTAGTTCGTAGGTCGTCTCAAAGCGGTTTACAAATTATTATCCTTGGTTATAGGGCCTTTGCAACTAGCAAATGTCTTTCTCAACTCCCTGGGGAGCCTACAGTCGGTACTGCCATTTCGGCGCTCACAGCTAGCATTCTACAATTCTAGCACTGCCCAACCACGTACTCATTAACAGCTGAGTAGACTTAAACGATCGGAGTAAAGTATCTTGCTCAAAGATACAAAACGTAAAGTGCCGTGCCGTACCGTGCCATGCCGTGACACGAACCCGCAACCTACCACTAGACTACCGTGCCTCCTTAACATACATCTGTATGTGCAATCCTCCTTCTATAATGTTACATGCTCGTGCACTGAACGTACAATCCCTCCACTTATATATATTTATATGCTTAGCGACCATCTCTGTATGGCGCATCACAGTACCAATTCGATGAACAATTTGATACAATGTATGTCATGGCTGGGTAATAATTATTATACAACATATATGGTTGCTTATACGACAGTCAATCAACTTTTGCGTATTCAATATCAGCAAGGGGTTATGGGACATATCGTTTTTTCAAACTTAATTTTCTAACTGATTCATCAGTGCCACGATTGATGGTAACAAAGATGACTGGATTATCGAGGCTCCACTGTATATATATGAGTTAGAAAATTGTTAAAACGCAAAAACTCGCTGACTTATTCTTCATCTGTATTCTTAATTCAAATTATGGCTGTTATTTGAAGTATTTGAACCATTACGAAATTATATAAATATAACGAAACCCATCAACATTGCAAAACAATAAAGTAGAAATATAAATTTTTAATGGACAAATTCATTCTTTTCCCGATGAGTATATCATGTATTTTCTGTGCTGATTGTGGAATAAATGATATGTCCTTTCAAATTTAATTGAGCTTAAAATGATTATTAATGTTTAATATTATTTTGATTTAGACCATAAATATGACAACAAAAAGTGCAAAAATAGCAACGTAAACCTATTTTGTTGACAAAACTAACCATAACCTCTTGTGGGCAATCGAATGTCCTAAGATGGGTTCTTGTATTGGTCCATAATATGCTGCCACCTATCTTTCAAGACCTGTTTGGGTGTATTCCACAGTTTGTGTAAGAGCGGCCAGCCTTTCGCGGCTGTGGTAAGTACGTACGAGTTGGACGGGTCCTGGTAGTTAGCGTAGGCTCCCAACACTAACGACTGGCACAATCGAGCACACACCGATATCTGTAAGGCATCCAACTCCACGTCATTGAAAGGGAAGACCGGTACCATGCCAGCTAATATGTGACCACCAGCGTCGAGTTGTTCCGAAGGCTCGCAAGTAAATGACATGTACGCGATATTGATAGCTACGTCAAATACGCAGTAGGAATCTGTCACATCCATGAAATCCAGTAGTCCACTGACGTCATAAACGCGTGATTCCGGAGTGACGTCATCCTGACCTGGAACTTCTACGACGAGGATGTTTTGCTCGTTGAGGTCCCCATGTATCACACCTGATCAAAAGAAGAGAAATCATATGAAGCACATTAAGGTGTATTTCGGTACCATCATACAAATGTAAACACCTGACGTCTATCACCCTTTCATTATTGGTATTATTGATTTCACGTAATAAACGCGTGCGAGAGGTCAGATTTCTCCATTTGCAGAAGTGCAAAGCGCGTATGGAAAAACATTGGGGGTGGGGGTGATTGAATATCTGGGGACGGGGCGGGGGGATTGCATTTCTTAATTCGTGCAATAAACGAAATCAATTTGAAGGGTCAGATAACCACGTATGTGCGATATTGCTCATCACTATCCCGTTTTGACATTCATTTTTCTTCCCAAAAACTTGATCAAATCAATAATGGCAGACAACATGACTTCCAAGCCGGCAACTGACGTCACAGTATTATAGCGTTAATGGCAATAACATGTTCCCATCTCAAAACCCTTTCTAGTTACATTTTGTCGATTTGATAAATAGACATATTGTAACCACCGATGAATTCAAGACAAAAAAGTTTTGGTATTGCATAGCCAGAAAAGTTGGCGGTATTCTAGAACAATTTACCAGGTATGCAATACTAATTTAGAAGGCCCATTGTTAAATATTAAAATGAGACCTTCTCTGTGGTTAGTCTTTTAGTGTAAAAGTACAAACACACCTGGTCAGTTTAGTGCAAAGCCCATAGAGGTGTTGGTAAGGAGTGCATTGATCACAGTTATAAATGTTGTATTTGTTTTAAAGTCATACAAAATTGACGTGATGTCGTGTATATATTCTGTCACCTACTCAGTATCGAATGTACTTCACATGTCACTTATTCAACGACCACAGAGTGCAACAAGAAAGAAACTTTTCTTAAGAAAAACACGTTTAAAATACAACATTTGAACCGTGTCGAAGGAAGGAAAGCAGCAGACCTACTGTGATGATTCAGTTGTATACCTGTCGGTTCCACCCTACCTTTCTGCAATTGATCACATCTGGGAAGAACATCTGATTCAAACGCAGATATGATCTCGTCAACCACACGTTTGTCATTTTCATCTTTCACCACAAATACGAATTCTTTAAGCTTCGAAAATTCCAGCAGACTCCACAACAGGGAATGAGTGTCGTAAAAGGAATGGTGAAAGCCCTAAAATAGACCATCAACATCCATAAACACAAATACATGTAATTGTATCGTGGTTAACATAAAAAGCGTTGTATCATTACGAACCATAAAACATATTTGTTGGATGTTGATACTGACAGATATTTAATTTTAAAACAAATCTTAGACCCAATGCCGCCTTGTTGTTACAAAACATCCTGTGTCCGACTTTACTTTATATGAGCAGCATGTTGAATGTCTGAAATTAACCCGGTAGATACGAAAATAACGTTGGAGCTAAGTAAGTTAAAACAAAACCATTATATTAGTAAAACATATCCGATGCTATGTTGTACTAGTGGAACAGCAGTAAACTATTGCATCCCTTCTCACAAGGACAGCAACTACATATAATGTCAAATACGTGGAAAGGAAATGGTGCAATACTGCAAACTATGGGTTTTTCCCTTTCGTTATCTAGATATCCGGCTCCGGGTTGGGTATTTTGGATCAGGCCTCTTAGTTATATAGAACCGCGCTACGTCAGGAATTTAAGGAAGAGTAAATTAAATGGTTATAATGGAGTATAGCTATCGATAAGCTTGTACGTTGTAGCCATGGAGATACATGTATTTTTATTTGTAAATGGCAACAACGTAACATCTGGTTGTCGTCTATATGTATATAAGGAGATAATTATTACCTAGCGTTACTTGTAGGTGTAGCAATGTAGCCGGGCCATTATCGTACACTTATTGTACAGCAGGGTATACCTTTGAACATATTTATATATCTTTCCTTTTACACTTTTTTTTTTTTTTTTTTTTTTTTTTTTTTTTTTTTTTTTTTNTTGTGTTTGTGTTTATTTTCCATAGTACTGTAATCAGACTACAAGGCCCTAAAATTCAAATATCAACGAACATGAATTAAGTTTTGTAGGTAGAAAACGTTCCTTTTAATATATACATATATGTAATTAAACGGCAATAATTAAATATCCGTTTAGTTGCAGCAGACTCGGAAACTCACCTTCGTTGCGTTCAAAAATTTCCCCATGAATTTGCCCACATTGTACAATAACCCAGGAGTACAGGGTTTGTTGAAAAGTATGTCGCCGGGGATAAACTTCAACAAGCGCACAATGTATGTTCCATATGGGGCGGTGTCCGGATCTGAAAAATATGTGCAAATTTACACGCTGATTTCTACGGATATTTTTATTTGATATATTCTTAACAGCCTTTCAACATGGTTAGTTAAAGAGAGATGTTTCAGGAAGATTTAAAAACATGATGACTTCAGAATATGGGACATTACAAAGAACCATTACCGAAGCTACTGCGTATTATTTAATTCACCTATCTCAGTACATACCAATGATAGACATTTTGTTTTATTGAGCCTCGTTTCTGGTTCAGGTATTGATAATTGGTGAATATATAAAAATGTAATAAATATTGCATCTAACTAATTAGAATGTCAACAGCTGCTTGGATAGACACATCTGCCTATGTTGTGGATGAAAGGGCAATAATAATTCATCACACTGTCGATACAAAATATAAAATTAGAACTCAAATTGCAAAATCGATACAATAATATGACACCAGATAATTGAAAAGATATCAGAATAATTAAGATCACACCAAGAACCACCATGAAACCCGAGGCGCAAAAACGCACTCCTAAGTGTGAGTTAGGAGTACCACTTGTCGCACCGTTATTAGGTTGCCAGCCAAATCTGGAACTTAATGTGGGTCACTAAAGGTCTAGGACATTCATTAAATCAGTTAACCCTTATTATAAGCGAGTTCCATTTACATCAGTTATAATTATTTTCACCTTAACAATTGGACATCATCTGGTTTGATCATTATGTTTACTTAATACTCAATGTGCCTGCACGCATATTTGTAGCATCTCTATCTCTTTACCGGTAGAACATGTTTACAAATGTTTAACTTTTTACCTTTATAAATCTAATAAACAACTACATTTACCTAAAGCGTCTCATGTTTTCTTTTGTTAGCGATTTATATGGAATAACTTTAGGCTTAATGCTCGTTTGATAGAGATATGCATAGGTTCAGTTAGCATTACATTTAACGCTTTCTTTGCTCAGTTAGTTTACACGAGTCCCCTTACAAAAACTTCCTTAATATCGCTGATATACAAACATTGTATAAATATAAATTCCAAATATTTCTTTTGATTTAAATATTATTTCTGTTTGATGCTACAATATATAAAAGAGCGATATATATGTGGGAACTATAATATATAAAACGATTGTAGGGTAAATATGAAATTGTAACAGCTATAACGATTGTAATGCTAACTGAGAATTATAACAGTTATAATGGTAGTAATGTTAACTGAGAATTGTAACAGCTATAACGATTGTAATGTTAACTGGGAATTGTAACAGTTATAATGATAGTAATGTTAACTGAGAATTATAACAGTTATAATGATAGTAATGTTAACTGAGAATTGTAACAGCTATAACGATTGTAATGTTAACTGAGAATTATAACAGTTATAATGATAGTAATGTTAACTGAGAATTATAACAGCTATAACGATTGTAATGTTAACTGGGAATTATAACAGCTATAACGATTGTAATGCTAACTGAGAATTATAACAGCTATAATGATAGTAATGATAACTAGGAATTGTAACAGCTATAACGATTGTAATGTTAACTGAGAATTATAACAGTTATAATGATAGTAATGTTAACTGAGAATTATAACAGCTATAATGATAGTAATGTTAACTGGGAATTGTAACAGCTATAACGATAGTTATGATAACTGGGAATTATAACAGCTATAATGATAGTTATGATAACTGGGAATTAAAACAGCTATAATGATAGTCATGATAACTGGGAATTGTAACAGCTATAATGATAGTTATGATAACTGGGAATTATAACAGCTATAATGATAGTCATGATAACTGATAAATTATAACAGCTATAATGATAGTAATGATAACTAGGAATTGTAACAGCTATAATGATGGTTATGATTACTTGGAATTGTAACAGCTATAATGATAGTAATGATAACTGGGAATTATAACAGCTACATGTATAATGATTGTAATGTTAACTAGATCAGCGAAGTTTCATTTTAATTACTATATTCTTATTCTCTCATCATGATATCGATTGAAAATAAAAGCAAATAAAAACAGACACAAAGTAAAACGTTTAAGAGTACACAGATTGTGATACTCTGCTCATGGGCAATATAGTCTTAACGTTAGGTTATATATAGTAAAATGGCCTTAGCATGATGGAATATGTACAGTACCGCACTAATATCCACAATGCCTGGTCAATGATGATATGGACAAATCGTCAGACAAATCAACTACAACACACTGAACAAATAAGGCCATGTCTGGAATTTTGTTTAATGGATATTGTTCATTGCGTCAGTAACTACTGGACGTATGAGGAAATTTGGCTGTCTACAGCACGTATTTAGTATACCTTTTGGGTCTTTCTCCGCAAACACCTTTTCGAGAGACATCAACTCGCCAGAAATCGTGAGGACGGTTTCTGGCACAGACATGTTTCGTTCCCGAAGATGGCTAAGGAGACTGTTCTGTGCCTCTGCAAAATCAGATTAAAAAGTCTTGCTCACAAATTGTGACTTTATCGCTGCGGTATTGTATGTATCCCTTACATCATTTATCAACATTGTTAGTAAGAAGTACTTTACGGAGTGCTATTAATCGGGTTTATGAGTCAAGATACAAGCGTCACAACCACACTGTCCAATAAAACACAACATGTTAGTGATTATCCACAAATCGCTATGACATTTATGCTTGAAATGTGCTTGCGAGTACTGTTGGATGAGGTTTAACTACAGCAATATGACGTCACAATCTGATTATGTTTTAATAACGGTCCGTAATAAATATAACGGCTATGTCATGTATGGTCATTTCTACTGTTTATGAAAGACAAATAATCATACTATGGATTTAGTGTACACTATTACACTGTTGGTTTAATATTAGTGGTAACCACTTACCAACGATAACTGGACGTTTAGAGTCCATGCTGTTCAGTATCTTCAAAATATATCCATGTGTCCACACTTCCGGTATATGAGGATTACTTGATCGGTCAGTTACAGTCACGTGATAGTTCTTGTCGTCATAGCTATTCAGTTCCTTATAGCTGACTACATCTAGCCCATATATTTTACGTACAAGTTCTTCAACAACACCTTCAGGAATCATGGGTTTGATAACTTCCCCTTTCTCTTGCAACACCACTTTGGGTTTAGTAGCTTCGTTGTTATTGTCCATTGTTTCTGAAAAAGTATCATTGAGACTATAGACAAAGTATACAATGGGAGCAGTCGTCAGTTGCTTGCTGTGTATAATGATTGTCCAGTTGTTTGCTGTGTATAATGATTGTCCAGTTTTTTTGCTGTGCATAATGATTGTCCAGTTTTTTGCTGTGTATAATGATTGTCCAGTTTCTTGCTGTGTATAATGATTGTCCAGTTGTTTACTGTGTATAATGATTGTCCAGTTGTTTTCTGTGTATAATGATTGTCCAGTTGTTTGCTGTATATAATGATTGTCCAGTTGTTTGCTGTGGATAATGATTGTCCAGTTGTTTGCTGTGTCTAATGATTGTCCAGTTGTTTGCTGTGTTTAATGATTGTCCGGTTTTTTGCTGTGTATAATGATTGTCCATTTGTTTGCTGTTTATAATGACTGTCCATTTGTTTGCTGTGTATAATGATTGTCCATTTGTTTGCTGTGTATAATGATTGTCCAGATGTTTGCTGTGTATAATGATTGTCCAGTTTCTTGCTGTGTATAATGATTGTCCAGTTGTTCGCTGTGTATAATGATTGTCCAGTTGTTTTCTGTGTATAATGATTGTCCAGTTGTTTACTGTGTATAATGATTGTCCAGTTGTTTACTGTGTATAATGATTGTCCAGTTGTTTGCCGTGTATAATGACTGTCGAGTTGTTTGCTGTGTATAATGATTGTCTAGTTGTTTGCTGTGTATAATGATTGTCCATTTGTTTGCTGTTTATAATGACTGTCCATTTGTTTGCTGTGTATAATGATTGTCCATTTGTTTGCTGTGTATAATGATTGTCCATTTGTTTGCTGTGTATAATGATTGTCCAGCTGTTTGCTGTGTATAGTGATTGTCCAGTTGTTTGCTGTGTATAGTGATTGTCCAGTTGTTTGCTGTTTATAATGACTGTCCAGTTGTTTGCTGTCTATAATGATTGTCCAGTTGTTTGCTGTTTATAATGGCTGTCCAGTTGTTTGCTGTGTATAATGACTGTCCATTTGTTTGCTGTGTATAATGATTGTCCATTTGTTTGCTGTTTATAATGACTGTCCAGTTGCTTGCTGTGTATAATGATTGTCCAGTTGTTTGCTGTGTATACTGATTGTCCAGCTGTTTGCTGTGTATAATGATTGTCCAGTTGTTTGCTGTTTATAATGACTGTCCAGTTGTTTGCTGTGTATAATGATTGTCCAGTTGTTTGCTGTGTATAGTGATTGTCCAGTTGTTTGACCGCACCCAACACAAAAAATAAGCATGCGCACATTGTACATACATCGGACACACACTGTACGCCCAACATTGTACATACATCGGACACACACTGTACGCCCAATCGTGCGATTAAACAGTTGTTCGCCCTAATGTGCGCTTATGTCTGCACTAAGTGCGATCACGTACAATTAGGTAATAAATAAGGAATGGAAAGGTCCGGAAAATAAGGTACATTAAAGTTAGATACGTAAGTTCTGGTCAGTGTATTTTGCATGACATCCAATTTTACCTTTGCTCGCACAAAGAGTTGATCGCTGATACTGTACGACCATTATTCAAACAAAAGTAGACCTTACCTGTTTGTTAATAAAACGTCGATCTACAGCTTCTCTATGTGAGATACCTGTGGGATTTTTACACCTTGGAGAGTAACGTAAGTGCCTTGCGTTACGAGAACCCCCCAAAGATCGTGTACAAGGCGATTATTTTTACATTATACCTGTAAATACATGCGACCGTTTCCTATATGAGTTGTACCCATGTCGATTTATATCCTTTATGAATAAACATGAAATCACACATTTGAAATAAAATATACATGTATATTTGTAATAACATAATAAAGTAAGATGAACCTTGAGATTTAGATAAACTATTTTAACATAAATCAAAGTCGAGTTGATATACAGTTTAAAAACCGAAATCGTGTTTATTGTTATGTAATTCCTGTTTTACATCAACCACGATTGCTACTGAACATCGTTCATCCATCGTGCGCACAAATGTGTGCCAGCTTTAATCGTCAAGTTTTACATCGTTTGCCTATGGTGCGCACATCGTGCACATATCGTTCACACACTGTGCGCATTATATTAAACCCCATACTAAGTGGCGGTTGTTTTTTTCCAGTTAACTAACTGGAGTCTGGATTTTTAAGTATATTAACACACATGAGTTTATCGAGACTGCAAACAACATGACAATCAATCACCATGAGTTAGGGAACCATTTTCCCCCGTAGCGTTATTACAATATTAGAGCAATATTTTACCAGCTTCTCAATTCCATTAGGTTATGGAGTCATGACGTTACAGTAGCAACTAAATTTCGCGTCACGTAGCAAAGCATTGTGACGTTGCATTTTGTACGATTATTAACGGATTCATGCTCTTCTCAAATGCTATTTTACTCTCTTGATATTCCAAATAATATAATAGGGCACAGGAAATGGAGATATGTTTTCCAGACAAAATTTGACATTTGTATGGTATCCCAACTCTACTTATCACTGTAACACAATGTTAAAATGAGTATAATACTTACCAAGTAGTGTTAGATCTGTAGCCTATATACTCGCTATATTTCTGTATCGGTGTCCTAACTAAAACACACCGTTCACACAAGAATGTTATAGTACTGCCTGCCTAGTTAAAGCTATTGATTATGCAGTGTTAGCATATCGCTGATACTAATTAGGGTATCATAGGCTGGTGACACGACGATCATACATCGTGTAATACAGGCTTACACATTGTATAGAGGTTTTGGTTTGCGATTGTCATATCTGCTCTTCTGGAGGTATTTCGACAAGGATACTAAGTGGTGGAAATGCAGGTGTTGTCTAATGGCTAGAGTGATCGGAAGGAGGGTGCACGTGTTGCTTGGACCCGAATATCATTACACCCCTGCCCGCTTTATGAAGGCCCCTTCTTGGCGGCTAACGAAAACTCTAGAAGGAAGGGGCATGTCAGATGACAAAAACGGCTAGAGACCAGGAATATCTGGTATATAAGGTAGCAAAACCTCTCTGCTTATCAACACGTGCCTGATTCGTAAAGACATTTACCTCCCTAGTAATGAGGAGATATGCATACTTCAGACGGAAAGAATATAACTGGAAGATTTATGTAGTCCAAGTGAAGGGCGGTAATCCAAATACAGGAAAGACAGATGACTCCACTAGGGCGGTTAGTCATCCGACTAACTTATTTTCTTCGCATCAGATATATTGACGTAACAATCAATACCTGCTCACAAGTGCAGATAACTCTGCAATACGAAAAGATGTATATATATACATACAATATATATGTCATCACTGATAAAAAAATACTAGCTGCTCCCTACAGACAGGGCTGTGCGATTTTCTCTTTAAGTTATTCGGCAGAGCGTCAGAGTAGTAAACCAGATGCCCCGGGTCCGATCCCAAGCGGAAGCATAGGAGAATACACTCCCTGTGTTACATTTGCATATTAGTATTCAGCTAGGCTTACATATGTATATGTATAGCAGTCAACATTTGTGTACGGTCTGTAGGTTCTTTTATATATGTATATGATTCTGAAAGATAATTTCAATACTTTCTTTTCGATATACCTATGCATGATGCATTAAACTCATTTCCGTTTAAATAAAGACACGCACACATATGAATACGTACTGTACCCTTTACATATCCATCTATATACATGACAGACTCCTAGCTGTGAATTATGCCTTCTAATCGTCTCTGAAGGTTGTTTATGGTCTTCAAGATTTTCTTTGCTGATTTTAAAGTTCAAATATCAAGCGAGAACTTTATCATCAATTAATAAGTAGCTTAATATATGTATCTATACAGAGACTTATATAGTGTATTAATATAATCTATCGCTACTGGTTGTGTAAGATAGAGAAATCTCAACCCGCGGCAATTCTTGGTCCGAGGGTTGAGATTTCTCTATCTTACATAACCAGTAGCGATTGATTATTTTTCTCCCATATCTAACAGTATTTTAATGTGAAATAAAGGTAAACATCGACCCAAAACACATACAGGCAATTTGTTGATGGATTGTTGACGTGACGTCATTGTATTGTTGAAGTGACGTCATGCCATTGTTATGAATAGGGGAATCCCCCCGTCTCAACCCTAGGGCGGAGACAGAAAAATCTAGCACCGGCAAAACGGGAGATAAATCTGTCAGGTGTGGGAGAAATGGTGTTCTCTAGTATATATATACGTGCACACATACAATACACAATCAATTATTTAACATCATGGAATGTTCTTAACGCAGACTGTAGCATTCGGCAAGATGTTCCGCTTGGATGGGTCTACGGAAAGCAAAACAATATATGAGCCGACGGCTAGGATTAGGGTCTTTAAGTAGTGAAAAATAAATTTTGTGATTTTTATGATTTCGAAATCTAGAGACATTTCTGATCAAAATGATATAAAAAATATGTCAGTCCTCCAGTATTTGATGATTTGACGCCACTTTAAAGATACGTCATACATAGAAGTAGGCTATATGACTTCTGACGTCGCTTGCAACGTCATTATTTCTAACGTTACTTTTAAGATTGATACCGGCGGGTAACATATATATGTATATTAATTTTAACTGCTTATTTCTGGCTTCACTCCAGAAGTTAGGGTTAGGGTTAGAGCATGATGGTAAAGGGAAATTCCAGAGCATTTAAACGGAAATAATTAAATATGTTATTAAGTCATACACAAATACTGAAATGTAAAACAAATAGGGTTCCATATGACCATGGTACAAATATTACTTCTGTACTTTTGAACTTTGAAGACTAACATCTCTACAGTTTTCTTCCGGTTATAGCTGTGACAAAAATATGTTTACAACAAAAACTTGAATCAGTATTCACAAATCTATACCACTTTGTAATGACCATGACATACATGAAATAAAGTGGTGCAAGATTTGACATTGCAAGCGTGGTCACTGTCTTTTACGTCGCAACTTTGAATGTCAGTCATGCCCAGCTC